GTCTCGGTCACATAGCCCAACACAGACAACTGAGTCTGTGCTTTACCGGGGGCAACGTTCTGAGCCCCGGTCTGCTGCTGAACAGGGTTACTGCATTCCTGCCGACCCAAATTTCGAGTTCCATCGCAGAAACATTTAAGATTTCAACCCACGTTCATAGGCAGAGACAATATCAGGAGCAAATTCTAGGAGTTCTCTTTTACTAAACCATTTGTCCTCAGATGGTTTCTAACTCTTAAAACGAACCTTGAATTGCTTCTGGGGTCGTCCTCGTGCACCTGTAGAGAAGAACCCTTGTTCTATAATTCGATCCACTTCATATCCACCATCGATATCTGGCGGTATCATAGATGGTCTATGAGGGAATTCATCTCCTTCTACATAGGGTAGCAACTTAGACGCATGAAAGACAGAATAGGTCCTGAGATGAGGAGGTATATGATTTCTGTAAGACGGTTCCTCTACATCTCCAATCACTTTAAGAACTTCCCAGGGTCCAAAATAGACAGGCAGAAGTTTCTGAGAGACATGTTCTTCTAGTGAAAACTCTTTAGACTTGCCCCAGACCAAATCACGTTCTCTGAACGTTGATGGTCGTCGATGCTTATTAGCTTGTTCGATCATTCGGTCCTGAGCTTTCTTTAAGTTCTCCTTTACCTTTTTAATGTCTTCTTGAAACAATACTGCGTATTCGCGGGACCCTGGAGGTAACCTAAGAAACTGGACCCTCGTCAATACATCAATGCGACGCTTAGGTTTCCACCCTTTATGCAATGCGTTAGGTGTTCGTCCTGTAGAGGTATGAACACTACTATTATATGCACTTGCTATATTAGGTAAGTTCTCATCCCAATCTATTTGATCGGGTCTTACATACATGCGCAGAAGCTGTTGGCACAAACGGTTCATTTGTTCACTCTGCCCATTCGTTTCAGGGTGTCTACCTGACGACATGGTTAGACGTGTACCGTATGCCTCCATTARCTTTYGCCATGGCATACTTGTGAACCTGGTATCGYGGTCAGATACAATGGATAAAGGGAAACCATACTCAGTCACCCATCGCATCTGAAACTTTTGGATCACAAGTTCCGTTCTGGCTTTTTCGGGTAAGGGAATGAACATAGCATATTTAGMGAAACGATCCACAATTACCATTACCTGGCTATTGCCATTTCGACTTTTGGTGAGACTCATGAAATCCATGGAGATAGACTCACCTGGTTCGCTTGGAATTGGTAACGGTCTGAGAAGACCAAGTGGATTCTCATGYGAGGGTTKGTTTCTCTGACACACAAGACAAGTACGAAYATAAGTTARTACATCCTCTTTCAATCCCTTCCATTCAARGCGTTCTCTAACTTCAGCGTAGGTTTTCTTGAAACCAAAATGACCTTCGGCGTCGTGACATTCCCCAATAATCAGACTTTTGATTTCTTCTTGGTGAGGAATACACATTCGTTGTTCAGTTTGGTCTAAAAAGAAAAGCAAACCATCAGTTATCTTATAGTTGGGAAGTAGACTCGGTTCTTTCGCAAGGACATCCATGATAGGTTTTCATATAGGATCATTAACATAGCCTTGGCGAATTCTATCTTTCAGATCATTCCCAACGTCTAGGTAAGAGACAATGGCACCAAAGAAATCACATCTTTTAGACAATGCATCTGGAACCACGTTAGACTTACCTTTGATAGTGTTCAACTCAAAATCAAAAGTATCAATGAATGCAGACCATCGTACTAGCTTATCAGAGAGCCTAGGCTGTGTCTTTATCCACTTCAGGGTGGAGTGGTCTGAATACACAGTGAAGTGTCTCCCTAATAGATAGTGTTTCCAGGTGTCTAAGACACAGACTAACGCATACAATTCTCTTTCATGAGTAGAATTGACAACCTTTTCAGATGGCAATCGTGCAGACATAAACTCAATTGGTCTGAAACCATTGTCGTCGTTCTGTTGGAAAACTGCGCCAATCCCATACTGACTTGCATCAGTGGTGACAATAAAGGGAAGAGAAGGATCAACAATTTTCAGAACAGGGTAGTGAGTCGGAGCGTATTTTACCTTTTTGAACGAGGACTCACAATCCTTGTCCCACAACCAACAACCAGATCGTTCCTTTCTTTAAGAACCTTCTCACTGGGGCAGCGATCAATGAGAAGTTCCTGACAAACTTCCTATAGTAGCTTGCCAAGCCAAGAAAATATCGTAACTCAGTTACAGACTTAGGTTGTGGCCAGTCTCTCATTGCTGATATTTCCTTTTCTTCAGGCCTAACGTCATCTTGGTTCACTATGTGTCCTAAGTATAAAACTTCAGACTTAGCGAACTCAGACTTCTTCGGGTTGATTTTGAAGTTGCCTTCTCGCAACTTACTCGAAACCAGACGAAGATGCTTCTCGTGTTCTTCTAATGTTTTACTATATACGAGAATGTCATCCAGATAGACGATGACGAACTGATCCAACCATTGACGAAATAACTTGTTCATTGACCGTTGGAATGAAGCGGGAGCATTAGTCAATCCGAAGGGCATTACCATAAACTCATAATGACCATACCTGGTCCGGAAGGCGGTCTTGTGTTGATCTGCGGGTTCCACTTCGATCTGATGGTACCCAGACTTCAGATCAATTTTACTGAAGTACTTGCATCCCTGWAGTTGGTCAAGTAAATCGTCGATGCGAGGGAGTGGTTCGACATTCTTGATAGTGACGGCATTCAACCCTTGGTAGTCAATACATAGACGTAATTCACCTTCCTTTTTGGGCAGAAACAAAACAGGTGCTCCATAAGGAGATGAACTAGGGCGAATCCATCCCTTGTCAGTAAGGTCCTGCAGTTGTTTCTTTAACTCCTCAAGTTCCCAGGAAGACATTCGATAGATAGGGCCCTTGGGAATCTTACTACCCTGAATAAAATCAATGGTGTGCTTTATAGCACGTTCAGTGATTCTGGTGGGTTCATTTTGCAAATCCTTATATTCAGAGAGAAGACTTTCAATCGTCGGAGGACAGGAAGAAGAAGACTCACCGGCTTTCTTTACCAGTACCAACATAACTTCTTGTTCCAACTTTTTCTTAGAAACCATTGAACGAAAAACTGGATAACTCATACAGCAAAAGTATAGACTTGAGTCAGAGCCAGACTTATGATACAGTTTAATTGGTTTCAATTCTGATTGTGCATCTTTGAGTTGCACAATCTTGTTTTTGAATTCAATGTCCGGGTTGGCTTCTTCATGCCAGTCCATACCCAGAATGATATCAAAAGGTAAATTATTTTCTATGAGGAAGGATAATTCATGCACAATCTTCTTTCCTTCCTTCGTTCGAAACTGACCCTTAATACGATTAACATACTGAGAGACAATGATCGTACTCTTGTCTGCTAACATAGACGTTATAGGTAGAGACAAGTCTTTTACCTTCATGTTGAGATGCAACTTACGGATTGCCTTCTCGGAGATGTAGGATCTCGTTGATCCTGGGTCTAACATCGCACCAACTCATGTTCGTGCGATCTCAACATCTGTAAA